TGTAGATGAGAGGCCCCTCAGGAAAGAGGGGCAGCTGCCCATCACAACAATCAGGGATCTCTCAGAAATAAATGAACTGGTCAAGCTTACATTAACTCTGCTGTCTCTTGCCAGGGTCTGCAGCTGTGTAGGAAGTGTGTTTTGTTAAGTGAGTTGCAAGTTCCAGTGAGTTTGGATAGGATGTGTGACTGCTGACTCTTGCCCTGAGAAGGCCTTACACCTGTTCTGTATCTAGCTCTGGAACCCAGATCTAGGGGCTGAAAATATTGGCTCTTGTCAGTCACTGCTGGGGTTGCCCTCCACTGCTTTCTTTGTGAGCTTATCCGGAGGTTGGAGTCCAGATGTGATTTGTGAGACAATCTGCATCCTTATCTTTGCTCTCTTTCTCTTTGAGTGCCCTGCCCTCGTGCTTCCTTTTTTTCCTTAATTGTAAACTGTTTAGGACAGGGAGACCAACTTTACCCACTTCTGTTAAGTGCCTGATTGAATAGGAGACAGCATATCATATAGTTAAGGGTACTGGTAACTTACCTGATGCCAGGAAGCACTGGCAAATTACATCATTCTTATAGGCGTCCACCAGCCCAGCGGGGCACAGACCCATTTTGGACAGACTTTCCTTTTGAACACCTTCTCATAGGATTGATTCAAAACCAGGGAGAGAAGATATTTCAACACTGCATTACCTGCCTTTGGTGCCTAAGAAATTATCCCAGATTTAAGCAGTGTTTTCTCCCATGTGATGTAAGCCACTTGCAGCCAGATCCAGTTGCATCTGGGATTAGATGAAAAGCTGGCATGCTGCTTAGGTCAGTTTTTCAGGTTGAGACTTTGCAAAAGCTGCTGTGGAGGAGGCTGTTTTAATCTCTTTCACAATGGCACCAGCAGAAAAAAAGGCAAATTCAGACCCAGGTTTTTGCCATTTATGATTGACTCCCTGTGATACTTGTTTCAGCTGGGAGCAACAGGAATTTGTAGGGGGAATGTATGGAAAGTTTTATTTGGAGGTCTGTGCTTTGGTTATGGATAATAGGTGGTTGTAGTGTCCTGCTGCTCTATCAAAGTGTTGGAGCTTAGTCATGGGACATTCGTGAAGGAGCTGTCACTTTTGGGATTTTTCCGTAGTGCACATGACCATGGTTTTTAAGTGCTGACGTGTATAAGATCTATGCATCTCTAATGCAAGACCACTACAGTTCACCTGTATCTCCTTTGGAGGGTGGGATGGTTATAAGCTTCATTTGACTCATGACTGGACCATGGCATGTATTAATTACATGTCTGGTAAGGAAAGCAAGCATATGGCCATATAAGTAGGCCTGGAGACTATCTAGGTAAATTCTTTAATTACCCTAAAAGACATCCTCCAAAGCTAATGTTTTTAAAAAACCGGTCTAGGTTTTAAGTAGCAGCTGAACTAAGAATGGTACAGCCTGGGGAAGGTACAAAGGTAGTCATCCATCTGCCCTGCTAATTAATACTTTAATAAACTGCAAAGCCAGCTGTTTGTTTTTAGTGGGAATATGCAGCTGGGCGAGTCAGAAGTAATCTAGTCATCCAACATTTGAAACCCCCTGGGTCTTTAACATTGTGAATGTTTCCCTTGTATTTTATACTGCTGCCAGAGTTAGTCTGTCAGCAAATTCAACAACTGTGCCACAGAATTCAGCTTGCCGCTCCTTTAAATTCTGAACTGTCTGCAATAGGAGCAGCTCTTTAAAAAGGTAGGAAATCAAAAGAGATAAAGGAACTACTTTGCATATTTTATGGTATAATAAAGTGGTGGAACTTGCTGCAGGACAAGACTAAGGCAAATAGGAGATTCCAAGAACTTTTGGAACGACTGAGTGAGAACAGCATAGCTGAGGCCCCAAGATTAAGAGGATCAGGCTAATCATGAGTCAGGGCATAAACTGATCAGCACAAAATGTGAAAGCAGGGAGAAACATCCTTTCTGTGGGACTTAATATTGTTTAATTAGCCACTGTGGGGCTTTTGGTTTGCTCTGGAAGCAGCATTTGTTGGCTTCTGATGCAAACAGGATCCCATTCTAGCTAGACTCTGGGCCAGTAATAGCCTGACAGATCCAGTGGCTGTACTCTTGATTTGGGGCCTGATGTCCTTAAACTGTTTTTGTTTGGATGGTTCACCAGCTGCCCTCTCCTCTACATTTTATGGTTTGGTGCTGCAGCTTGTATGTTCTTTTCTCAGCAGCTCCTTGTCCTTCCTACCAAATCTAAATACTCCTGTCCCCTCCTCTCCAGTACTATTCCCGGGCTGTCGTCAAGCACAAAACAAATATTCAGTGGTTCCAAGCTCCTTACTTCCAGGAGAAACTGCATTTTCACACTGGCTCCTAACTTCCTGTGAAGAACCAAATCAGAATTAACACTGAAACTAATCCCTCTCCCTCTGCTTTCCCCCACACACGCTTCAAAGGTGGAGCCAAGAAAATCAGAGGAAAATTAACCTCTTCCATAAACTATGTGAGCTTGGAGGAAGCTCTGCAAAGAGTTCCTGCCTTTTCTTTTTCTGTCTTCCTTTCCAGCAACTTCAACAGGGAAAATCATCCTGCTTGGAGCTGGACAGTTTTTTCTGTGGCTCCTGGCATGTCTTGTTAATCAATAGGGATCCTTGTTTTCTCTGTTTAAAAATTGCAGATTCTCTAATTAAATTCTCCCCCCCAAATTCTCCAATTAAAATCCCCAAAATCCATGCTTTTCCGCAACTAAAATGAAATACCACTCGTATAGGTATTCGTTGAACACACTGTTTTATTAATATATTTACAATTTTAAAGCTGTTTGGAAGCCTACCAGTGCCTCAATTACTAGACTAAATGCATTCTAAATACCTATATTTTAGCACTCGATTTTGGGGGTTTTTTTATCATGGAAAAATCAGAGCTCTCCCTGTTGCCTTCATTCACCAGGATGCGTGTCCAGTTGCAGCTGTCTCCCCCACTGGTTTGTGCTGCTGAGCACCCCTGCCCATGCTGTTGTCCCTCACTCCCAAGTCACAGTGCCCCCCCAGCTGGAGTTCCAACACTGTGCCACGTTGCCTGGCCACCTCTCCCCTGGCAGCGTTTCCCAGCCATCCTGCCCCTGCGAGCATTGGCACCAGTCCTGTTGCTGCTGACCTGGTCACACAGTTCCCTGCCAGCCTTGAAGGGCCTCCCCGCCTCCTTTCTCCGCTGGAGGGGCAGGCAACTCCTTTCTGTCCTCCCTGCCCTACTGCAGCCCCATCCCCAGCAGGCACCTGTTCCCTCCGCCCCCACGCACCCATCCCTTCTACACACATCCCTGTCATGCATATACAGATTCATATGCCCCACATACTCTCACCAGACAGTTCCCAAGCCCTGGCCCTCCAATTCCTGTTCCCCATAGACTTGCCTGCATCCAGCCGCCAGGGCTGCTCCTACTACCCTGTGTGGCTGTATACTGGCCATGTGTATGGTTCCCCATGCCTTCAATCACCCTTCCTCCAGTTTCCCAGCCCCAAGCAGCTCCTTGCACGCTGGAAGGCTGCCATCTTGTGAGGGGAAACCTGCTGTTTCTTGCAGTTTTCTCCCTTAAAGAGGAAAATCTGCATTTTTCTGCAGCAAATGGAAAACCTGGATCTCTCCTGATCACACAATAAACTGTAACATGACACACGTTCAACCAATTTATCGCACCATAAAATAGCACCCCAGTTACAAAGATGTTTCATATTTAATTCTTACTAATTCAATTTAAGTGATTATCAATATTAATTAAATTAACTCCATATTGATTCAAATTAAAGTGCCTTACATACTAGCCACAAAGACGTTGCATATTTAAGGTGGAACATCTTTGTGGCTAGTATGCATGGCACTTTAATTTGAATGTGTGGCCTGTTAAGCCTTGCTAAACATGTATGGCTACACAGCAGGGCTTGTAAGGGTGTCAGGGGAGGGAAAACTGAAAGGCTCTCCCACACTGGCTCCTTTAAATGCCTTGTCAGGCAGCCCACAGGCAGGGCTGCATTGCAGAGCTTTAGATTTGCTAGGCAGGGGATGCCTGTTGGCTCCCTCTGCCTGGCACCTGAAAGCCTATGTGGTACAGCCTGTGCCAGGCTGCACTGTAGGTCTTTAAACTTGCGAGTGCATGTGAAACCCAGAATTAGGATCCAAGACTCCCCAGGTACTGACAAGTTCAAAAGGCATAGCAGGAAGCATTGCATCCTTTGAATGTCCAGGCATGTGGAAAACCACACATCAGGATCAGGTCCCAGATACTGGGCTTCGTATGCACTGGCAGTCACATGATTGTGACCTGAAAATTTTTATCCTGGATTCCCAAAACTGTGTCCTATTGTGCACATCTAGCATGACAGGGCATGTAGTTTTTGTGATCATGGATACATTTCCTCAGATCCCAGTCCTGTGATTGTATTAACATTTGCCAGGGGCCTGTGTCTTCCTGTTGTTAATGTCATGCATCTTCCTGGACACAGACCCCAGCTGTAGACTAACCTCCCTTGGTTGCCAGAGGCTTGGATCTATGTTCAGTACCCGACTCCATGCAAGCTTCCCTGGGTCAGGTCTACATACATAGCTCATGTCACAGACAGACCAAATAGGCAAGAGGCACCCTATTAGAATATCTTCTGCCCTGTACCAGGTATGGTCATGTATAGCATCTCTGCATTTCTAGGCACAAACCAGAGATAACTCCTGTCCTATCCTAGCTGTGGGAACATGCTGAGTGAAACCAGAGGGGAATGCCTGGAAATCAAAAGGCAGCCCATATTGCTGTTGGGCTGGAGCAGAAGGGTACAGATACCAATTTAGCAGTTCCTCATTCATCACTTCACCCCCAGACTCAGGTAGTGGAAATGCCACTGTGCTACCTCAGCCTTGTATACCCCTGAATCCACCTCCATGTTCTAGCTAGGGGGCACCCACTATAACCACTCCCTGACTATAGCACAGTCATCTGTGGTGATTCTCACCAATGTATATTGTTGCATAGGATCCTGGAGCATCCAGCTAGAGAGGGGAGGCACCGTGGTCATCCTGAGGAGCCTGCTATGGCTAGGATTAACCTTCTACCACATCCCCATGACTAAACAATATGGCTATGTCTACTTCGGCACTGGTGAGAAGAATATGGACCTGCCCTTCATGCTGTGAGTCTTGTGCCTGTACCGAGGAGAGAATGTTTCCATTTATATTTTATACTTGGGGAATTTGTATTTAGAATTTATTCTAATAAATACATATGTGAAAGCTCTGTATTTGTCAGCGGGAATTTTCTGTGCATCAGATGGCACCCTGAGGATTTTCTCAATACTTCGCTATGTGTCTTCTTTCCTCAGCCCTTTCAACTGAATTCTCAACAGTCTGCCACTGTAGATCCTAAATCAGCTAAAAGAAAATGACACTTTCTTTCAGGAAAGAAGAGGCTCAGCTCAGAAATCAAACCAAGGCCTTTACTTTGAATGCCAAGCCACTGAGACTTGCTCCTTATCTTCTCAGCAGTATGTAAGTCCATTGTGGATTGTGTGTCAACAGAAAATTAGAAGTGTTGGTTGTAGAAAATTGGAGCACCTAGATGCCTTTATTCTACATTCTAGCATCTGCCCTCTTGCTTAGAAGTCTGCACTACGTGGCAAGCTCAGACAGTGGGTGGGAGGGGCAGGGAAGGGGGTCTGACTTTGCAGAGATCATGCTTTGCCAAACCTAGGGTCTTTCCAGCTCATAGTGGCAATGATGAAAGATCTAACTGTACAAAAGGCATGGAATTAAGCCTGCTTGTTTGCTGGAAATTCTGTTCTTGGACATATCTCAGCAAAAATGCTACAGCAAGTCCTCATGCACATCTCACCCAGTCGCTACTGTTCTACTACCAAACCCACCTATTTGAAGTTCTGCATATTCTATATCCAGTTTGAGTGGGGATTATTTCAGAAGTTCAAAAGGACAAACCTAGAGCTACACAATCCACAACTTGTGTTCTTTGAGAGGGGACCCAGTATCTTGCAGTCACAAGGGTCTGACTCCAGGGCTTCCCCTTCATAGATTCAAACTATAAACAATCCCTGTGTTTGATTTCTTGGTTAACACTGGCCACCGTCACACATTTTTCCTGTACATGATGATAAATGCTAACAGAGATTCCTGGCTAAACCTGTACGCAACTCACCCATGGAGGAGTACATAATAAAAGCGGGTTAACATAATTTTGCAGCCATAAGGAGACATGAGAGCAGGCACGAGCAAGCAAGCAGCAGTTAACATTGGTGGATTTAATCTCCTTTCCTGACAGACCCATAGCTGCGACTTTGGAAGCAAAGGGTTCAGTAGGTGATAGCCGTGTGATATGAAGTTATTTCATCAAGCATGATACATGTGCATCAACCATACACTGTTCCAGGCATCAGACAAAAAACTTGAGGGAGTGGCTTGCAACAAATTTATTTGCAAGAAGACTATGACAGGCCAAGTCATTACAAAATGTCAGATGTGTTCTGTATTTGTCAGATCATGCTAGTGAGTTATGATAATGAAGTGCAGTCATCAGGCCAAATGCCTGCCTGCCACTGCCACGTGCTTTCTGCTTCAAGCTAAGGACATTACAGATTATAAAAATATTCCACTTCAGTAATGATTAACACAATTTTCATCATGACAGGCAAAGTAGCAGAGGGTACAACAAAGTCTTTTCCCTCTCAGTCACAAGTGCTAAAGCCTAGACCACTGGCAGACCTGAGCAGAGGCAAAAACTTTCAGAGATTCCCTTCTCTGGTGGACTGCTGCTGTAAAAACCACAATCAAAATTTCTTGGGCCATAATGAAACAGTGAACATTTTACTCCTCTCCTTGTTTGGTATAAAAAAATGTTCCACTGCACCTCATTGATTCAAATAAATAGGTTTCTTCCCATATTTGATGTTGTCCTGCAGCACAGGATGTCCGACTACCATGGGGACTCTGCACCATTTGTGGCCTTTGTTCCAGATAGGCTTGGCAGATTTGATGGACCACCGGGTGAGATACCTGTGAACACAGAAACAAGAAATCATTTCAGCCTTAGGCTGATAACTTAGAAAAAGACTATAAAATGGGTGGGCCAGTGTGGCTTTGGGCTCCCTACCTATTTAATATAGGAGGTGAGGACCATGGACTCTTACAGGATTCAGTATATAAAAGCCTTATTGGTTCAAGAGGTACTAGGAAGAAGGTGTCTTGTGTCCTGGAGCTTCTATCTTGCAGCTCTCTACCAAAGCCAATAGCAATTGCCATGAGCTTCCTTATGCAAGGCTCCCGGCAAGTTGCCCATCTGATTCAGTTTATCCAAATGTGGGGTTGGGTCCCGTTGCTGCATCAACACCTAGCTTTATATGTATTCCCCCATTCTATGTTCTTAAGAAACCATCTCCTCAGCCAGCCTGAGTAACAAAGTGGACCAGTTATAAAGGCCAGACTCTCAACTAAAAGTCTCCCTTTATTTCCACTGGGCAGGCACCTTGGAATAGGGATTCTAGCCAAATCATTTATTGTCATCCACCTATGTGTTATGATGTCCTATAAACAACTTTGCATTCCAAGAGGTGCTGGGATGAGAAATACAGCAATTCCAACCAGACAGCGAGAGCAATTGATGCCTGGCAAATAACCCTGCATCTGAACAATCTGGGGGCTGGTGTCTGGCCTTTAGCATAAGCCAAAATCTCATATCCAGCAAGTTACTGGAAATCTAGTTCTGTGGCTGGGCGCCCTGGAGTTTTGTTATAATTTAAATCTGTTGCTACCAGTAGAGGGGGAGTAATAGGTCCCTGGAGAAAGATAACTTTGTCAGACAATGACAATCTTAAATGAACCCCTGGTTTAACCTTCCCAAACAACACTTGGACAAAAGAGAGTTTGGAACAAATGGGTAAATTTTGTCCAGTGAGGTTGTCTGCCTGCTTCTGTTGAATTATCAGAAGATCCTTGTGTAACCCAATCTGTCATCCTACCCCATAGGGTTTTGTTGTCCCTCGTGCATCATGCATGAATTTGGCCAATAAGTGCTCTGTGCAGGAACTATTTAATTTTTCTGTACAATGAAGGGCCTGCCACATGTGTGGGAGCTGTAAAATAAAAGTCTGTGATGCCACGCAGTTATGGAATAGAGGAAGACCACACACATTTTGGCAGCATGTTTCCCTCTTTTAGGGTCCCAAACAATTGAAAAACAAATTACATCCAAGGACTCCTGCCACTCAGATGAAGTGGTCTCCCAGGTGCTTTGCAAACAAATAAGTAGTCTGCCTCAAGGAGTTTACAATCTAAGTAGCCAGGACAAATAAGCAACTACAGGACATACAAAATGAGAAAGAGAGTTGCACAACACAGAATTGAGTCAGTCCCTTTCTATGTCTAATGTTATGCTTCTACATTAGTGGATGTCCTACTATTGTTTCCCTTCAGAATTGGAGCCTCTTTCACTTCCTTAGAAAAATGGGATTAATGCTATTTACTTTGGGATGAGGTTTTGCAAGATCTTTAATGGCCAGAAGGGGAAAAGATCTTCTTTTACATATCACAGGCAACAGAGACTCCCAGCTACAGCAAGCTCTGATACAGTGAGACTCCAGTTACAGTGGAGGATGGAAATCCCAAACTGTTTCAAGTCATCACAAAACGCCAAGTGCCATTTTGGTCATGTGACCTTCTGCTTACGGTAAAGTGTTCCCATGATAATAAATGATCTCACTGCAAGAGGGAAGCACTGTGAATGTGAGATACCCATCAATGCTGTGCGAAGATTTAGACAAACACTGGCTTTTTAAGAAATCTCTCTATTTTCATCTGGGGGCTGGATGTGCACACCCCAATTCTGCATAGGAAAGGGGATTTAGTAATGGCCTGATTTTAAAGCTTTTGTTATTTTTCCTTTGAGCAGGTCTAATCCAGCCCTCCACTCCCGTCTTTTGGCTTCCTTTGCAGAGAGCAGGCTGGGGCTTTTCACTGTTAGTTGAAACAGACATTTGGACGCTCTCCCTTCCTGGAGCACAGTTTGCCTTTTCTGTTTTTAATAGCTTTGTCTAAAACTCAAGCTTGTCCTACTTTTTTGCTGCTTTTTTTACCTTGATTCAAACATTGCCCTCAAGCCTGGAAGCAGTTGTTCCGCTGCAAAGCTCCTTTCCTTCTCATTGTCCAGCCCCTCACTTTCACTGTTTGGACTCATTTTTTCAGGAAGGTGGGAGCAGGGGCAGGGGCAGGACCCACATGTGGGAAGGCCAAGGAACCTGCCCAGCACCTGGAATTTTCAAGCAAATTTGGCTTCCAAGTACAATGCCTTTTTTTGTCATTTGTGCACCTATTCAAGTTTCTATACTAGCCATTATTGTATTTAAGGGCCCCTCTGTTTAGGAGGGGGCTTTGTTATAACAATCAAGAAACACTTGCACTTAGTGAGGATCCTCTTACGCAGTTCAGTGCTGCCAGGGCTGAGCCTGGAGCCTGATAAAGCCTCACAGTGTGGATGCTTGATACATACTGCTAAGAACATGAGCCGTTGTCTCAAAGCACAGAAGCCCCACATGATTGCCAAAGATGAACATGACTATCAGTCTGGTGCTGGTGGCAGGAACCACCTTTCTGTTCCATGTTTGGTGCTGTGTAAACCCAATGGTGTCCTGGTCAATGACTAAGACTGCGGGGCACTAGAATAATGCAGGTTACAAATGAGAGCTTTGGGAAGGGCATAATTAGCTACTACCACATCCTAACTGTATCCAGAGACTGCTGTTTAACACCTGGGGAAGATACACAGGGCTTCCATGTGCGAAGGCAAAGGAAATCACCTGCACAAGGGGCAGCTGCAGCCCTGCATGCAGCCATGTTGGTGCAGCTCAAGGCTGAACTTCTGAACTCTGACTAAACTTTTTCAATCTGGCTCTTGTTTGGATTAAGAGAAGGCAGAGGGCTCAAGCCTGTGCAGGAAGTACTCCATCAAAGTGCTGGCACGGCTGCCTTCTCCCTGCCATATCCCCTTCCCAGGACGCCTCTTGGCTTCACTCACCTGCAGCCTCTTTGGTTCTTTGCTTTTGAATTCACACAATACACAGAATACAGGGAACAAGGCTACAGGCTTTCAGTGCAGATGAGGGAAACCACATGCTGCTTGAGCTAAACAGAGATAGCTATGATGCTAGATTTAACTCCCAGAAAGAAGAAAGGAAAATCCACAGAGCCTGACAAAGATGCACAATTATCCAGGAGATGCTTCCTTCTAGTTTGGCAACTG